CGGGCGGGTGCAAGGGGGCGGCCTTCGGCCTCCGGCCACCCCCCCGCACCCACACCGTCGTCAGAGGTCTGCCCCGACAGTACTATCATAGCAACAGTACAATCGTAGAAGTCGTGTGCCCCTATACAGGGGGTGGGGAAGGAGAGAGTGAGTTGTGATTCGCGTGAAAGTTCTTTTAAGTTCATGACATTCCTAATGTACTATTTTGGTACAAGAGAGTACAATTATGAACATTACATAGCTGAATTTTTGTTCAAAAGACTGCATATTTTTGACAAACGTATTGAACGATTTTTTGAAATAATAAGTAATTTGTATCCGTTAGAATCGTAACATATAATTCTCCATAGATATTCAACGTTTATTTAACATTATTGTCATTTAGTAATGTTTTTTTTATTATATACAGCAGTATAATAGTACGTTATTTTTTGAAACTTTTTTTGTTAATATCTTTTTAATGAAGGGCGAGCGACGGCTAGTTGTTTAGGCAAAGTTACTCAGGGTCATAACCTTGACAACATATGTCAAGGTCAAGAAGATCGGAGCTGCTTTCCCTATTCCGAAGATTTACCAAAGTCATTATTAAACTTACTATTAAGATAATGTTATCATTTATAGAATTAATAAACCTATAGATTAGATAAATCTATAGATTAGAGGTATGGGCTTATCACAGATGAATTTATTATAATATTTTATGTCTGATACAATTTAATTACTTGATATAATTATTACTGTTTATGGATTCTTTTGTTACTTAAATATTTTGTAAAGAATATTTTTTATGTTACCTATAATAACAATCTTGTATTTATATTTCTTTATGTGTATTCCATAATTTACATAGAGAAAGAAATGAGCGAGAGACATAATAAAATTAATTGATAAGTATAATTTTACATGATGTAAAAATATTTTGTATACATTGAATTTGTTTACTAATATTTGATGATATGTTAAATGGAATTTTATTTTTATTTGCTAAGTTAAATTTTGACGTATATTTTTTAATGCAATTAAAGAATAAAAAAATATATAAATAATAATTAAGTGTGCAATTCATATAGGGGAGACTAGGGCCAGTTGTAACAATTTTTAGAAAAATACATATATTTTTTTATTTATCATGTATATGTTCATTTCTTTTAATGCACATGATGCAACAACTTTTTAGCTTTATACTACTGTTGACAAAAAGGTGTAATTTTAAGATGTTCATGTAAATAAATGTAAAAAAATAAAGAAGTCCAAACTGGTACATCTTGCCCCGATTTGGGATAAAATGAAACAAGGCTAGGGAAAGTTGTAACATCATCTTAATAAATATTAATTTTAAGGTTTATAAAATAAAACGCAAATTTAAATGTTGCTGCATAATAATATAATTAATTTAACAAATATTAAATATTATATAATTAA